AGTAATTGTAATAAAGCTGAGTTTTCCTTATTCATAGAGGTACTATTGATGACGTTTTTAAATTAAAAACGAAGAACTAAGTTGCATGAGTGCGAGTTGTCCTGTTGCTATGCTTCTCCTGTGGCAGAGGATAATTAAGAAATTATTATGGTGACCAACGAAAACCAGTATAGAAAGAATAAATTAATCAAACCAAAAATAATTCATTTGAATATTAGCAAATACGTAAATACTTAAAAATACATGCCTACTTATTTATAATGTTTTCGTTGTATTCCAAAAAGTACGAAACACCGTGCTTGTTATTTATAAAAAAAAATATCTGTAAATCAAATTATACTTAATTAACCTTATAACTATGGTTGTGACTTGACGGCGACATTCCAATTTGTGCATAGAATACAATAGGTGCATAGAATACAATAGGATAGGATAAAGCAATGCCATCTAGCGTTGGCAAATAGAGCAAAGTATGATGGTATTTTTCAAAGTATGCTATTCTAAATCAGTATGTGTTCTCTTCTGGCATCTCTTTTGACAGCTGCTTGTCTAGATGGCGCTTTATTGATTTTTCTAACTTCAGTACCGATAGACTTCTATAAACTCCTTTCAACTCCAAAAAGCTTAAACATTTTAATTTTCTCTCTACTCCATAAAATAACTACTGTCCAAAAATCATATTCGAACGTTAAAGCAATGCCATCTAGTATCGATACATAGAACAAAGTAGAATAGTATTTTTCAAAGCATGCTATTCTGTGTACAATGGTTGTACACTCGTCTAACATTATTTTTAAGTGTCTTCTATATATGTTTTATATATTTTTAAATGACAATGACGAAAGGAAAAAGGTCAAAACATGAATTCTAAAAAGCATCATAAATCCTATATGAAATCCCCCTTACAGAGGAATAAAACAAACTATAATATTTGGTAAGTTCATTTAATTCAATTATTTATGTAAAAATTGTTTATCATTAAATAATAATTACATAGTTATAAATTTTTAAACTAAACCAATTAACTCATTCCTTCCATATGATAGTATAGCTTAGTTGTCGAATATTATATATTAAAAACAAATGCATTAAAGCATTTTTTTATATATATATCTTGATGTGCATAAATAAATTAAGCATCATTAATCATTATTTTAGATTACTGGCTATTTATTCAATCCTTTGACAAAACATATATTATTGTCATTTGTTGGCATTTACAAACTTAAGACATCCTAATTTTAGTAGGATTCACAACACAGATAGTCTTTACCAATAGATTGAAAAATTAGCCTTAGTTACTTATTGTGTAAAGTAACAGATAAATATAGCATTATTTAGTAGATTTATATGTAAAACTAAAAAAAAAACAATAAATAATACTTTATATCAGTTTAACTGATAAAGTTAATAAGGTAACATTTCTATGGATAATATTTACAATATTTATAGTGCTTTCTTCCATAAATATATTAAATGCAAGAATGCACTATTAATTTTTAGCCAAACTATAAATTAATTGCTCGATTAAATCAATATGGAGTTATACTGAAGTACACATATTTAGTGACCAAATAGAGTCCAATAAAAAATTAGTGACTAAATTTTCAGCCAACTAAAAAACCTTAGTGCATTCCAACACTAATCCTAAAAAAACAAATACAACATTAATTATTAGCTTCCTTGCATCTTACCCAGAAAAAATATCCTATATCCATTCCCTTTCCCAAATTCCAAATCCCTTTCACATGCTAAGAATTTTCAGAATAAATGCCATGATAGTTTCAAATAGTATCATATATTTGTTTGTATATTTTTTAGCACACAATTTGCCAATACTCTTTACAATCACTTACTTTACAAATACATTCTGATCATACAAAGGTGAGGTTCAACTACAGGTAATAAATCTATAAAGCTTGCCAATCTTGATTTCACTAACTTTAGAATCAATTTTTGCCAGTTAAATTTAAGACAAAATTAAAATGTAATAAATAAATAAAAAAGAACATCTTAAGTTGTATTTAGGTGTAACCTTAAACTGACAAATGGACCCACATTTTCGTGGACAATATTAAGTCATATATTAGTTGTGAAACTAATTCATAATACTATTAAACATTCTGTCAATTAATATTTAATGTTTGTCATACTCAAATTCACAGTACAACAGATACAAATTGACTATACATCTGATGGTTTATCTGAATGCTTTGATGGTTCACTCAGAACTAATGGTATATTACCTCCTGCATCTTTGGGCACCCAGCCAAGGGATTCATCTTCTAATCTTTTTTTCTCAGCTTGCAGTCTTTCGTGTTCATCTATCTCAATTTGATATTTTGGTGTAGTTATTCCAAAGAAGCTAGCAAGCGACTCTCCAGCATAATCAACCACATTCAACATCTTGTTACCAGATTTCCATGCATAATGAGAAAACCAAGGGCCCCAATCCAAAGATTGCTAGAAACAAAATCAAAGTATTATTAACTTGTTATTCCGATTGCCTCATGAATCATCTCAAGGTTAGTGAAATAAAAAGACGAAGGCTATAGCGAATAAATATTTCAGGCAGTATTTTATTTGTATTCAGACATTACTTCGTCAAAGGTAGTTAATTAATAAAAATTAATAGTAACCCTTATACAACTTACAGGATCAACAACATCTTCAGCACTTGGTTCGTTTTTTAGTTCGCTTACATTTTGTTCTTCGAATTCTTCTTCAACGCCATCGCTAAAGTGTAAAACCCTGCTAGGTTTTATTGTCACTTCTACTTCAGCATTAGAACTCATATCGATATCAACTTTGTTTGTAAGGCTAAATACCAGATATTTTTTATGAGTTTATGATGAATCTACTAAGGATATTTCCCACTGACTGCTATAAATATCAATGAGCAATACAAACAACAAAGATTCGCAATAAAGTAAATAAATAAATCTGACAGGTCAGGAAAGAAGAAAGGAATGACTAATGATGGTGGACTCGATTACCATTAATCGATTAATCGATTTTTCAACTAATCAGTTGCTATCGATTATTATTTCCTAATCGACGATTAACCATCTATTATTTCTTTAAACGTTAGTAAGTACTAAACGTTTATATATTCTAATACTTATTATGGCGACCCTGGAATCCCTATGGCAACTCCCACGAACAAATAGGTAACTTTACTCGTTGGTCGGGGAACTTCCGATGAATGAACCAACGGTTCTAATAGTTTTATTTTAACAAGTACAAATTAACTGTTTCTTACCAAATGCACATGTATGTAAGTATACACGGTACATACCAAACATACACTATACCAGCATTGTGCAATTTTGCATGCACAATGCTGGTATAGTAAGCATTTTCTTAAAATTGATTTTTAACTATTAACTTGGATGGCTTTCAAATACGGTGGAATTAATCTGAAATAATTAATAACCTCTTGGGGTAAAAATATTTAATAATCGTTTAATTACGATTATTAATCGATTCCAAGTAATACTCTAATCGATTAACTGATGTGTATAATAATCGAATCGGCACATCATTAGGAATGACTGACATTGACATTTATTGGTATAGGGATACGCTAAAAGTATCGATATCAAGAGTGCTTCTGGGATCGATTCTTGTGATCTGATTATTTTTAAGAGCCCTATTACAATAGAACCAAATTCTCTACGCGGCCATACAAATTGAGCACAAATAAACGTTGCATCGCATTATGTAGTAATTTTCAGTTATATTTATCCATTTTTCGACCGAGATCAATCTCGCTAAAAAAAGCCGAGATCTCACGAGAACGAGATCTCGCGTGAACGAGATTGCATTCCCTAGCGTTAGCCCTATATGAGTCGCTTTTCACCAAAGTCCCAGTTCCAGTCTAAGTTCCAGTCTAGAAGTTGTTAGGCTGAAACTTTGTAACTTGATAATAAAGTGTTCTGTACTGCTGCTTCTTTGATACTCTTTTTCCTAATTTTATAATGAATGGAGTATAGCAATCAATAATATAATCAAAAATAGTCTTAATATATAAATATCTTTGTTTTTTATATAAATTCCATTTATATTATCTTTAACAATTTAATCGAGCAGATAGACGCGCCCAGGGCCTATTTTTATTGTTTTATCCATAATCCTAAATTCAAATTTGTCTTTTTTTTTACGTGTAAAGACCAAAAACGAGACATTGGGGCAATTGTGTAAACTAGGGATAGGCAAATGGGAAAAAATATCAATATATATCGTATCGATATTTTTCAAATATATCAATAAATATTGATATATCGATATTATCTGTGTAATGAGCGATTATCTTTAAAAATTAACATAATATTAGAAATTTTAAAGTAAATAAACACCTGGCTGTTTTGTTATTTACAATAGGCACATAAAGCCAAGAAAACAACATCTTCAACACAACAAAAATTACATTATTCAAACAAATCAGTATTTGTCTGATATTAACATCAAAAGCACTCACCGACCAAACCAACAAGCAGTGTCATTGTCATAAAGAAACAAAAAAGACAAGCAGGTCATAGACTGTAATTTCTGAACTCATACAGCCTACTGCCTACCTACTCTTTTTAAATTTAAGAAATACATGATGAGACGTATGAGCAGACAGCAGAAGTTTAAAAAACATATCGATTATCATACGAATTTGACATCTGAAAATAAATATCGAAAGCCGATATATCGCGGAAAAAATATGGCTGGCTAAAAATATATCAATATTTAAAAAAAAAAAGTAATTTTGACATATCGATTGTATATTTCCTCTCCTAGTGTAAACGCAAATAGGCCTTGAATTTAAAAAGAAGTAGAAGTCAGGGCTGTATGGACCTAACATCCTTTGCCCGTCCCAAACAAGGGGAACAAATAGAAAAAAAAAAAAGAAGTAGAAGTATTTATAAATTGCAGAGATGTTTTTATGTTTTTAAATAAAAGTCTAGTAATCATAGTTTGTTTATAAATTCCAAAGAAACGAATGATGCACCATGGAAGGTTTTTGTAGGGGCTGTTTAGTAAGATACGACGAACCAACAGAACTCTTACCTTATACAGAGAGAAATAGAAAATTATTTGTATACTCTACTGGCGTTCAAGTAAATACTTGTCTACATTCTATTATTATGTTTATATATATTCATCATAAAAATTTTACTAATGCGTTCAGTAGGCAATTATCATTTTTTTTATTTTTAGGTTAAAAGTAATGAATTCTCTACATTCCACCTATGCAAAGATTGTCATGTAAACATGAAATTGTCCTGCAAGTTCAAGAAGCAATGTAGGACATCTGATAAAAAGTTCAAACATTACATGTTGTTGAAGGAAGCCGGAGATGCATATGATCTTTCTGCTTTTTTAAAAAACAATGATGACAGTTTAAGGTGAGAGTAGGATAATAACATAATTCAGATCTCAAATAAGATTATGTACATAGGCACCCGAAAACAGGCCGGTATGATATTCCAGCAAAGGGTGACTTAACAAAATCTATACTAAAATTATAAAGCTGAAGAGTTTGTTTGTTTGAACGCACTAATCTTGGGAACTACCGGTTCGAATTGAAAAATTCTTTTTGTGTTGAATAGGCCATTTCTCGAATAGGCTATATAACACCACGCTGCAACTATTAGGAGTGAAGAAATACTGGAAAATGCAGATGAAGTCGCTGGCGGCCACTAGTGTATGATATTATCAAGAGTATAGTGTAGTTCCACATGTAGTTCCAAATTATGAAAATGCAATATAGGAATTTTATTAGGGTCGTGGGCATGCCCATTGTGCCCACATAAGTGGATTTAGGTATGGGCAACCTTGGACATGTTGTGGGCCAAACTTTAGTGTGCAAATATGTTCGCGGGCTGCGTTTAAAAGCAGTATATTTTAAAGTAGTGTTCAGAATTTTTCGCAATTGATATCAGATGTGATAATAATAATAAATTAGGTTTTTCAAAATGTCGAGTGCGAGCCGGCTGTTGCCCACTGTGGATTTAAATAATGCATGTACTGCACCTGAACACTATTCATGCTCATAACTTTGTCATATTTAACAGCAAGTACTCATTCTTTTAATTCATCTGTATTTCCTTACCATTGTATTTGACTTTCATCAAACTCCCAATATGCAACAGTATTCATAATTGATAATGCATGTTGTTATTTTTTTTTTTTAAGAATTATATGATTTAAGACTTTTATACTTATTAATTTATTTTTTACTATTCTATTATCTATGAACAGGGATATTGCAGAATTCCAATGACAGGAGATTTTTTAATCAATCAATTAGTTTTAGGGCATATTCAGTACAAAAAAAAAAATCTAGTGTTTCCTATTTATAATGGTAATGGTAGAGAATGCCCCCATGGCATTAAGTCTGCCATTTGAACACTTTAATTTGTTCAATAAAGTAAAATAAGCAAATAAATAAATACTAGTAAAACATACACAACATATTTACTTCATAACATCAAAGTTTTGCTATACATATTAGTTTCTGAGGAAAATACGAATGTTCACTTACTAAAGGTGTCAATAAATATATTATTTTTGAGAGCTTATCTTTCAAAAATATTGGGAGGTCATAACCTCTTTATTTAAGTTGATTTTTATTGTAATTCTTGCAGATTTCCATTATTAAATGGGAGTAGTACTCCAGGTCATCCGAGAGCTACATCTGAAAAGGAGAGATATGATGATAATGGTAACAAAAGGCCTCATTGATCCTTATACAGGAAAGAATAGTGATAAGTGCATAAATAGCGCAATTGATTTTCAACTTTACTCTCAATACATTAATGTTAAAGTTAAGAAATTTTACAGATTTGAATATACCTGACATAACATTGACTACACTTATTAATTGTACAGTATAAATTTAAGGGCTTTAATGGTCTCTAGAAATTGGTAAAGTAAAAATAAAACAGACTTAAAATATTCTAATCAAAGCTAGAAATAATCCAAGGAATTTCTATTGAAGTCTTCATATTAATAAATTAATCAAAACCCATACAAAACCCTTGTCTGATTTCAGATTCAACATGCACCAGTATCAGAAACTTTATGTCGGATATATTGCAGGGCGAAGAGGTACCTGATGCTGAGACTCATTTACTAAAAGAAGTCATTGAAGAAGATTTACTAGAAGACACATTAGATTCACAATGGCTCCAAGATGATCTTTCAAGGGATACTGATTTTAGAGATATAAGGTAATATAAGATAATAATATGATCATGATTTTTATTAACATATTGATGTCCTACATAGCTGTGTGGTTCTCATCCTGCTTTCAAGGTGCCACCTTTTTGGAGGTTCATTACCCGGTTCCGGCAATGTATAAAATTTCTTCTCAGAGTCAGGTTGTTGTGTTGTAGTACCTTGTTTGTATCAGACAATGCATAATATGAAAGCTTCAGTTCCTTATCTTGGAACCTGAGTTATGTATATGATATCCTAATATAAAAAAAAATATATGTTCATTAATTCTTTTCTCATTAAGTTTTTTATTATTAATGTATCTATAAAGACTTCTGGGTAGACAGAGACCACAGAGCGCAAATCACTTTCACACGTCTTTTGCCTACTTGACCTAATGGTGAAAATAGGACTAGAAAAGTGCTCAAATATAATTTATTTTTTATTATCTTTTCAGTTTTAGTCAATTTTCAACTCCACATTCCACTAATATTGATCATTGCTATACACCAAATAAAGAAATTGAAGATAATTTAAGCGATTTCAATGATGTTTCTGATAAGAATTTGCAGTTAGTGGCTAATACAGAAAATTCAAAAGAATACTCAAGACAAATTGATGCTGTACAACCACTTGCTAATATAGATGAAGATAAAATAAATGAACCTGAAAATTTATTTAAGGAAGGTATAAATCAAAACGTTAATTATGTTACACAAAATGAAAATGATATTGTTCTAACAGATACTGAATACGCAAATATTCATAACGAAAGTTATTATGCTGCAAAAGTTTTACAAAATGAAAATGATCAGTATTATGATAAAACTAATTATTTACAAAAGCAAGATCATTTTACAGTAACTGATATTCTTGAAGCGGACACAAATCATGTTCAAAATGATAAAAATCAAATAAGTGTTGTACTGAGAGTAGACAATGATGTAACAAGAAATGCTGATGAAAATTTAAATGATGATAAAGTTATAAGTGATGTTGAAAATAATCAAAATATTCTACTAAATGTAGATGAAACTGATACAGCTAAGAAAATAGATAATAATAAATTATGTGATAGAAGTGAATACATTGATAGTGAATCGGAAACTGTTAATGCTGATGACATACAAAATGGAGATCATTTAGATGAATTGAAGAGTGATAGTGATAAAGATTTTACATTTGATAATTTAATAGTACTACCTACAGGTAACTGCTTAGCAATTCAAATGTTTTTCAATTAAAATTCAACAAAATTTTTAATGTTTTTAATACATTTATTATGAAACTGTCAACAGCTCCTGGTGCATCAACACCGATGATAAATAACATACTTTTTGGAGAAAAACTTGATATTGACGAGAATAGTAAAGCGGAATCAAATATCTTAGATCAAATATTGAGTCGAGGTGTCAAGGAATTTAGTATACACAGTCAAGAAAGTGAAACTGCAATTATATATGATCTAGAAAAATGTTATTGTAAAGCTTGTGATAAGAAATTTAAAATTGTCAAAGGACTAAAGGTGCATTTATCAAAATATCATGGAATCAAATTGCCATATGCAAAATCAAGAGTGTTTGACAATAAAACTAGAGTATGTTCAATATGTGGTACGATTTGTAATGATTTTAAAGGTTATACACGACATATGAAGAAACATTCAGTAAGTATATCATGGATTCATGAGTATATCATATTAATCACACAGTTAAGAATTTCCTATTTGTCCTGGAACTATTCGTTCTTATCACTATTATCATCATCTTCCTGCCCTTTTCCCAGTAAATGTGGGGTCGGTGGAATGTATCTTCTTCCACTCTTTGTCAGTCGTCATCTTATCACTCACTCCCTCCCACTCCCTTCACTTTCGATCCATCTTTTCTGTTGTCCTTCTGTTGCTCTCCATCGTAATTAATCTCCATCACTCTTACTTATATCATCTCTTCTGATATCCATTATACATTCCAGGCCAAATACTTCCTTTCAGTTTTTCTGCCACTTTCAAAATTCTTGTTACATACTCATTTTTTTTTTATTCATTCTCATCACTCCACACATCCATCTCTTCTCCTCTCAGCTACATGTAGTTTTCTTTCATTCATCTTCTTCACAGCCCTTTTAGAAGGCCACGATTTTTAGATGCCATAATCTGCCCAATTATAATTTATTTTGTCCTTTCTCATGCCTGGAAGAGATCGCGTATACTAAATTATTACAAAAATAGACGTAATTTCGTGGGAGAAAAATTTTGGACAATAACGTAAAGTTTCTTCATGGTTAGAAAAGGAAAGCAAATGTAGATTTATAAACAATGAACGGCGACTGAGTCTGAATTCGGACCACAGCTATTTTAAAACCGCTAGTTAATTTGTACCAAGACTATTAAAATAATAATATCGTTAATGTATACATGACAGAAAAAAATAAGGAGTTTATTAGTGTAAAACCAAATTTAAACCCTTTTTTTAAATTAAATTTACAAACCATTTTATTTAATATAACACATACCTATTAAAATTATTTTCAGGGCCCAAAAGAGTGTAGCATATGCAAAGTGCAATTCCTTTCAGATTATCGATTGAACAAACATTTGAAGTCTCATGCAGTTAATATAAATGTAGATGAGAAAATCAAGAAGGAAGACTTCGATAAAGTGAGTGTTATTTTGTATTTTATTATAGGTGGTATTAATTATACTTAAATTTCTTATAACTTCAGAGTTATCTCTAAAGCACAAACAAGAGTGTGAGCTCGTATTCATATTTGCGCGATTGAATCAGGCCTTTCCTATAGTTGAAATCGACTCAAATCAAATAGGGAGAAAGGGCCCACGCCGACCCAGTGCGGATTAGTGGGTGTTAACTGTGGATAGAGCGGGGACTAACAGCTTAATGTGACTTCCGAAGCAGGAAAGAGCTCGTAATAATAAATTTTCAGTCACCCATCCTACGGCCGGCCCTTGCGAAAGTTGCTTAACAATGTTATCGCAGATCGCGCTAACCACTGCGCGATAGAGCTACTATTTTTTTATTTTTTATATTTCTCATTAAGGAACAAACAGTTTCAACAAAATACACGAACAAAAAAAAGCATAAGATATAAACATACAGTTCCCTACATATACATTTACAAATCTAACATAAAGAAAAGGTAAACAGCATAAAAGATCAAACATAAAGAATATATCTAATACAACATTTAAACATACCCACTCAAGCATTTCGATCAGACATACATATAGTCAAAATTCAGTACGCCTGGCGCACACGCATTTATCATCATGATTTCTTATTAAGATGGTTTTTTTTATAATAATAGTTATTGACGGGATTGCTACCGTGTACCTTATTTTTACCTAATTCCCAATATTCCGGCGCTGGTGCAAGCGTTATGATTATGGAGCAACTGAAGTCTTGCGGCGTGTTATTGGCAGACATATAGAACTACCCTTTTTCGAGTCCTGTTACTTACCCGTAGCTCTGTTCACTAAGTTTTGTTTTGGCGTTTCTCTGCCGTAGGAGTAGCCATAGCATCCAATAACATGTTTGTGTATTTTTTATATTAATAATGTTTCATGTTGTTCAATATCTTTTTTTTTTTAGTATGTGTGCGTTATATGTGGAAACCGCTCAAAAACAGCAGGGAATTTCTCTATACATATGAAAAGACATTCTCAAAACTACGTTCATACTTGTCAAGATTGTGGTAAAGGATTTTATAGGAAAACAGACTTAGCAGCCCATGTGAGGTAAGAAGTTTCTGTTTATAAATACTCATTCTATATTTATTGGTCATCTGATCTTATCGATCAGTCAATTGGTTAGACTAAAAAGGAATTTACAATGTTCCTATAATCGTATTAAACTGTTATTAAATAAAGCAAAAACATATTTTTATTCATTAATTTTTAATGGGGAAGTATTTAAAAAAAACGAAAGCACTAAATAAGCACCTCCACTAGATGGCGACTCTAGCAAAAGCTGATTTTTGCAGGAAACGAATGAACCAAAGTCATTTCCGTTCCTTTTAACGGACATATTAAAAAATTGAAAAGTTCGAAACTTCGATATCAATACAAATACGAAAAAGTACAAATAGAATATGAGTTGTTTACTGAGTTTTGAAAACTAATTTACTTTTAAATATGAAAGAAAAGCGGAAGACCGAGAAATCGAGAACGTACCGTAGCGACATCTAGTTTGATTTCGGGAACTGTTTTTTTTTTAAATACGACCAAATCGAGCCGTGACGCCACATTTCTATAAGCACGATGCTCTGTCATGGCCGCCCGCGTTTCGTTTCTTGTAATTCACAGATTATAAATCGCAAGTTTAATTTGCATAGACAAAATTTATTTAGAATTTGTTTTAAAACAAAAAATACTACATATTTATTAATTTCAATATTTTATTGGTATCAAATGTCTTAACTGTCGTGTGGCCAATTGTTATAGTAGAAAGTGTTCTGAGGAGATAAATTAAGTAATTTATTTATTTGTGTATGGTCTTAAGGTAATAAAGATCTTATTATTTAACAACGTATCCCTTAATCCTACCTTTTCAGGCATATACACGATCAGTGTTTTCTTTAAATTTTAATATAATACTTAAGTATGATATTATTTTATAATTTATGGACGATGGATATATATGATATTATATTATGTATTTTATTTCTTTGACAGACGACAGTTTTGTTTGCTGTATTTATTTGGAAAGTATCTTCCGAAGGGGCTATTACGAAGCCCAAATAGATCGTCCATATCGGAGGACTATCTTTAAAATAACACTGCAGGCGTGTATACCAACGTGGATTTGTTCCATTTTATCACTTTTCACACGAAAATATAACGAGATGAGCGTGATGTCATCAGATGTCTTTACTCCTCGGCGATTGGAAACAGAATGTCTGCCAAAATGGCGGCAACTTGGTTTTTATAAACGAACTGTCAAAGTCAGTGTCACCATTCTAATAAAATTAAAAGTATCGATGATCACGCTCTCTTTACAATCGAGTAATTAAGTAATCGAGTAACTAGCAATTAAAATAAAAGAAACTAAATCAAACGATCTTCGTAATGATGATGCGACACGGCCATTCTGGGAGACGGTGCGTGCTCTGCGCCAGTCCCGTTTCTGTAACAAAATAGAAGAGCTTTTCTGAGCTAGGTATCTGTAAACCTAGTCATTTGGGAATTTTGATTTGAACTAGATTTCGACCATCATTTCTTAAACATCAAATTTATTACCAACGGGTATTTTATCACAATTGTTATAAAAAACGGTAGTCAAGTTGTTTAGGAAAGGTTAAGGAAAATTTAGCAAAATAGTTTAGGAAAATGAGCTGTTTTATCAAGTATATTTGGCAATGCAAATGCTCCACGCATACTTGCATTGATTATTGTACTCGTAGCAAGAGTGATGCTGTGGTCATGAGCGGTCCTGTACGCCATGATCCACAGTAGCTCAAAAGGAGATGGGGAAAGGTCGAAGCTGGGGTCTGGGTCTTACACGAGACCGTGGTCCCCAGAGGCTCTAAAGGAAACAGGCAGGACGAAGCTGGGGTCTGGGCCTTATTTATGACCGTGGTCCCCAGAGGCTCTGTGAAACGACTTAAAAATTGGGAAGTTCATTGGATGGGATTTATACAGTCTTTTCATAAGAAATAATTGATTATTGAATTGAACTTTCATGAAAATATTTTAACTAGGCATCTAATTGATGTGCAGCGCGGTAGATTCTTTTCTCGGTCAGTCCTGACTTCAACAAAAGCAAGATTTTGAAACCAATCGAATCTTTAATAATTAGAGAGAGTTTTTACTTTAAGTTTCTTTAGTTATAAGAATTTAAGAGTTGATAAATCCTATCATCAAATCTTATTTACAATGAAAGTATGCATAAACAACAAACTGGTTTGAGAACCTCTATTGCCCCACTTAACCAGTAATGCAATCACACTTTTTCAATTTTATTTTCACTTAACTAGTGATTTTAAGAGTGTTACTAATTCGATTGACATGAATTCTTCACGATATTAATTACTTTATAAGGGAGCACTCGATTCCAGTATCATAACAAAATGAAAACGACTCACCAAAATACTGCAAAATACTAGCAAGGGTAGCAATGATGCAGACGTCTACACGTCGCTCACTAGCAATGCCAGCAGACGAGCCATCAGTTTGGCCACCGTTGCATCTTCTTCGGCTACAGGTATCTTGAGAGTAGTGACCATCTGTTCCGCAACTGTTCTTCATATCAGGAACGCTTGGTTCTTCCCACGAAGGCTTCAAGTGTTTCTTCTTGTATCGACAGGCAGAAATATTGCCAGGATCGAGTTCGGGCAGATGCACATGTGACTCGACGACGGTACATATGACTAACGTGGTTGAGGGCGAAAAAGTTTTGATTTTGTTACCGCAACAAGATTTTCCATATCCATGACATCTGTGTGTCCACTTGGTCGGTTACATCCCACTTCTGATAACGGCGGGTAGTCCGAAGGGGCTATTGCGAAGCCCAAATAGATAATCCATATCGGAGGACTATCTTTAAAATAACACTGCAGGCGTGGTATACCAACGTGGATTTGTTCCATTTTATCACTTTTCTTACGAAAATATAACGAGATGAGCGTGATGTCATCTGATGTCTTTACTCCTCGGCGTTTGGAAACAGAATGTCTGCCAAAATGGCGGCAACTTGGTTTTTATAAACGAACTGTCAAAGTCAGTGTCACCATTCTAATAAAATTAAAAGTATCGATGATCACGCTCTCTTTACAATCGAGTAATTAAGTAATCGAGTAACTAGCAATTAAAATAAAAGAAACTAAATCAAACGATCTTCGTAATGATGATGCGACATATATATTTATGTTATATGTATATAAGTAATAATATATATTGTAATTATAAGATTATTATACACCCCCTTGCAATGGGGAATTAATTGGGTGAATATGATCATGATGGGGATGAAATGGGTTTTCAGAGTCCATACTGGAGAAAAGCCTTTTCAGTGCAAATTCTGTGATAGCAGCTTCAGAGTGAAATATAGTCTCGTGAAACATATGAAAGTACATCTGGGTAAGTACTAACATAATCCCATTAAAGTTTAAAATCAAGCAGAGAAATTTGACATATTTTAAGATCTGTATAACCTGAAGCGTTGTTGACTGTATTATTAATATGATCTTCCTTTTTTTTCTTTCCCTGTTCCTAATGTATGGGGGGAGGGGGGGGGGTCCAGGTCTCGTAATATTTGCGCCAGACGATTCTGTCTGGGTGTTTATAGGTAGATTTCTTCAGGCGAGCGTTCGCCTAACTCTCTCGCTATAAGTGTAGCAATAATTATAAAAAAGTTTTATTCATTTTACCTATTAATATATTTACATTGTTCTTGTTATATTATTTAATCTTTAGTTTTAGTTGTTCTTATTTATATTACAAAGTGGACTATACATATATAGTGGAATATACGAAAATGTGTGATTAAATATATAAACAATAAAAAAAACATAACACTGAAAAAGTAAATTACAAAGTATATTACCATCAGTAGCAGATTGATTTACAAAATCAATAAAACGCATTTATAGCTGCGTCTAGTTATAGTGTGAGAATTACGCTGTCGCGGATTGTATATTGGAGAGTAACTCGGTGGCTTATTGGATAAGCGCCGCGGCCCGCGATTGTTGTTGTCAAGCAACTTCCCAAAAGTCGGTCACGGGAAGGGTGACCAAAAAAAATTATCTCGAGCTATTCCGTGCTTCGGAAGGCACGTTAATCCGTTGGTATGCATTTGCAGTCGTTAATATCCTCCAATCCGCATTGGGCCAGCGTGGAGGGTCATGGACCATCCTCCTTACCATCCATAAGGAAGGCCTGAGCACCTGCAGTGGGGACGTAAAAGGGCTGATGATGATGATGATACAATTCATCATCATCAGGCCTTCCTTATAGATAGGTTATGTACCCTCCACGCTGGCCCAATGCGGATTGGAGGGTATTAACCACTGCAAATGCATACCAACAGATTAACGTGCCTTCCGAAGCACGGAATAGCTCGAGATAATTTTTTTTTGGTCACCCTTCCCGTGACCGACCCTTGTGAAAGTTGCTTAACGACTACGATCACGGGCCGCGGCTTTAATCCACTACGCCACCGAGCTACTAGATGTGTATAATGAATTGTATATTGTATTATAATATTGTTTTCAGACGACAAACCTTATCAGTGCGACGGATGTTCCACAAAGTTCGTATTGAAAAGCGATCTGAGCCGTCACGTGCGTTATTCCAAGATGTGTATAATGAAACGGGCGGGTTTGAAGCCACGGAAACGGAACACCAGAGAATACGAGTGCGCATATTGTAACGACAAGTTTACAAAGAAAATGGAATTTGTGAAACATCAGAGCAAGTTCAGACCGTGCGAAACGTTACATGTCAAACGGTTAGCAGATGTTAAGGTTACATTGGAGCCTTCGAACTCGGACGACGAGTTGCAAAATGAGGTTGATGTTACTACAAACTCGGACGAAGAAATGCAGGAAGAAATCTAAATGAAAAATTTTAAACAGAATTTTTGTTTCATTGAATTGACTCACTCAGGCCTATAACTTAAAACAGTAAAAAAGAACTAGCTTTATATAGTGTCTTTTGAATGAATTCATAGACATACTACTACGATGGGACGGACATCTTTGAAAAATTACCTAAATTAAATAGGCTTGTGACCTACAAGTGAAAATACAGGTGTTTGGATTACATGAACTATTTTAACTTGAAAAAATTTAACAAACTTAAAACAAATGGAACCTACTTCAAATTTACTGACTTTAATGTTTCTTAAAACATTTAACCGCTTTTAAGGTAAGTATTATTTTTCACTTTTTTTAAAGTTTTTATTTAATGCATCTTAATGATATTTTGAGTTTTGGGCTAACGAACATCACGCAAACTTAATGCAAACTTAACTCAATTTTGTATTGTACAAAAATACAATACAACATTGATTGAACATACGTGTCTCAGATATTATATTCTTGTCATTTCGATACTCGTTTCACTTATGCAACGAAACGTTATTTCAATATAGATTGAATTCAAGGTTGAGCGGATGCCTTTTTTTGAAGTGAATTCGAATTCGAGTTTGATATTTTACAGAATCGCAGTACTGGTTGGAAAAGTTTCTGTTCCCGGACTGGCTCACTTATCACTACCATATGCAAAACAATCATATTATAGCAAAGGTTTTGTTCCAATCACTACTAGTTTCAAAATTCAACATTAGAGCTTCTGCAAAAAAACACAAAAGCTTGTTTGTTTGTACCTAAGTACGTAAAATGCATTAAACGATGTGTGTCAGACTGACAGCCACACCCTCATCGAGATTTAAACTCGATTGAAATGAATAGCATAGTCTGGCTGCGTCACGCTATATCTTTTAATATATAGCTCTTTAGTTACCCATTGTTATAAAATGTCAAATCAACTTAGCTGAATTCATAAAATTTTGAAACTTTTGGTAAATATTTGACTTTCGAATGTTTTTATAGAAATTGAATAATTATGAGTACATAACGCCTGCCGAAGTTTATCAGTAGAAACAAAAGTTTCAAAATCGCGGATATATCTTTATGCACGATGTATGAGTACAAAGGTAAGAGATAATTTTTAGGAATCGTTAAGTACGAAGGTTCCATTTAAATACAATATCACAAAATTCTTTTCTTTCATTTATGATCTTGGAAAATAGTAAATTCCTACACCATTCCTTTATGGCGTAACTACAGGCTGACAAGTCGGCAAAATGCCATGGCCACCTAAGATTTTTCATTAAAAATATTTACTTTTAGGTCTTTAATAGGTTTCATTTCCGATCACTTCGTCTCGACTAGTGTGGAGTGACACATAATGCGTGGTGCGCAAGTTGAACCAGCCCTGCGATTCTGTAACAATCCAGACCCGAATTCGAATTCACTCATGTGTCCGAATTCTAGTCATTTAGTAAAGAAATCCTATTGATTCCATTTTTTGTATAAAAATTTTAAACAAAATTGACTGATTAAACGTGTCATAGATATTTTAATCCTATATCATTTCGAAACTCACTTCACTTATTTCACGAAACATTATTACCAATTCAAGTTTGAGCGGATGCCCCTTTTTGAAGTGAATTCGGACACCAGAGTGATTTCGAAATCGGGTTTGAAGTTTTACAGAATCGCAGGGCTGAACGGTGTTTTTCACGCAGATAATATTCGTGGACTGCGTTGCTATGGTTACGTACTGCGTCTCATTCCGCACCTAGATTGACCCGAACATTGCTACTGGGCAGTCGCCATTTTAATTCAACTCACGTGATGCGCATTATACGAAGACTGTTTCTGATGCTAACATAGCCGTATTAATAGTGTATATATTTTATGTGCTAAGCTAGTCAAATTTACGTAGTTGAATTTGAACTCTACCTTCAACACATTAAGGTTTAAAATAAAAAGGAGGTTTTTGACAATTTTGTATAGCGTGACGTGCTGTTGACTGTATATAAGAATAATACCTATATCGTTTTTTATTGTGGCTATACTTAGCATGGGCACAATTTAGAATATGTTTGAGACAAAATTCATTTTATTGCAAGAGGTTGGTAAATGAAAAGCAGCATATCAACACCTGATTATATCTTTATACAGTCGGGAGCTAATTAGAAAAAAAAATATAACATAATAAGCAGCTTTACAAGAACATCGGTACTGAAATGGTTTGGCACAAGGTTTTAATTTGTAAATAAGTTTCTAGTTGTTACAATGAGTGACTTCCTCTTGTTGCTTTTACCTACTGCTAATGTAAAGAGTGATTACATTGTAAAAAACAAAATATTTGAAGTTTCTAACACAGAAATTCAGCCACTAATAAAAGCAAATTAAATGATAGGTAACAAATACTTGAAGGCTGTTCTACATGTATTAAGTTGATAAGTAGTTAACTGAATTGTAAATTATTAACTGAACGTAAACATAGAATATAGGAACAAGTTGCAAGTAAAAAATTAGTAATAAAGTTAATTACAATTTACTTTTTTTCGATTATGCTGGTGCTCGGGCTTAGCATATAACACGTTTCCACTTGACTATATATACTTGAGTATGTTAGAATTCAGTGATCTACTTCACAAATTATTACTTGTAAATCAGCCTTTAGTCTTAATTCTTCTTACCTTAAGTAACAAAAAACAATGTCCTTATAAAAACTTCTATTATAAAACTAGTTTTTATAACTATTATCTATATCGAGTTTAATCTAGCAGTGAACGCATGTTTCGTTAGAGAACTAACATTATAAGGCGTTGTCACATTGAGTTATCATATAATTTGTAATATTTAAGTATGTGGAGGTTCATTTGAAATGACACTATTTTATTACGCCTATATTAGCTTGTATTGCTTTATCTTTGTCGTTTGTATATTATTGCGTGACAGAGAACACTTTGTCGAAGGGAAAATAGTAGAGGCAGATTAGGGGTATGAGTTTTTTATATAGATACCTACCAGGAGCTCTTATTTTGAATCATTCGGCTCGTGTCGAGCGCTCGTTTTCTACTGATTTTCGTACGACATAACAAATTAGCCATTTCTAATTCGCTCGACTGCAACGAGAGGTATGAAACACTCGTCGTTTAGCGAACGCTATGCTAGTTATAGAATAACCGTCAAAAGGTGAAATGAAGTGCCGTTTATGGCCGTTTTGTTTACATTCACGCTTTTTTTTGTATATATGGCATATGGCAAAAATATTTCCCATACAATACGAAGAACAAAATTCGATTTTCCGAATCGTGTTTGTCACCCTGCAGAAGAAGGATTCAAAAATACTGTAAAACGGCATCATGCGACTTAGAAGTCGAGCGTGACTTAGGTCGTGTACGGACGAGATTTTAAACGAGTGAATTAAAATAGAGCACCTGGCTGTATAGTATAGATAACTTATCAACAGATGGCGCTTTGTTGGAATATGTATTTTATTCACTTTAATGTGACATGAATATTTTACATACATAATATGAAATATATGTACGTAAAAATAAATCTGTACTATTTCATATTATTTTTTGTAGGTGATTTTATAGTAGGAAAAAGTTTTATTAGAGAAATTCGAAGAAGATGAAACGCCAAACTAATTATTGCAAATGTTGTAATGTTTTATGTATGTAATAGTGTGAAGGAGATAATGTTTGATATCACGATTGAATTTGAGACATGATGAACCTTTTGTACAATCAACAGCACACGAACCTATACAAAACTATAAATTTTCCCTAGTTAGTTTTAACTATAGATCATTGTAAATAAAGCTCAAAATAATTTGATGTGTTATGCGGTGCTGCGTGTACCTCGTGCAATAGTAAGGTAATATTTTGAGAAACTACTAAATTTGCAATGATATCAACATGATTAAATGCAAATTTGAATCTTGTTGAAACAACTCAATTACCTAACACTAATTACAACACTATTTAGAATTACAGTTTGACTATAACTAGATAAAAAAAAAATAATACAACATATTACAATACACGATTTTTTGCAATAACTTTTATTATAGCCTTATAATACAAATAAAACAATTACATTCCTTCATAAACGCACGTTAACGAACGCGCCGAAGGAGGCGTAAGAAATGATTATTAAAATTGTTTTTATGAATACCGCACCGGGAACCCTTCCTTTTGCATATTGTTATTGTTTTAAGCTTTCATGGTCATTTACTTTAGAATTATAGTTTTTTACGGGATTAATACCATTTACCTTGTTTTTATTTAGTACACACCATGATTACAGAGTAACCGTAATGTTACTCCGTGATGTATTGTTATGCCTAATTACTTTGGAATAATAATATTTTCGTTCAGTTGCACAAACGTCCATTAAGGTTTAATACCGTTTAAAGGTCAATGAGAGTTCTAAATAAAATGTATGTATAACGTGACATTAATCTAATGTTAATGGACGTTTGTGCAACTAATTGTTTGCTATGTATTATTTGGTATACTTATCTTTTAGGCTAATGTTACAAAATAACGTATATATGACATCCGCTAACACCTATATACCAGTCAATTTATGCTTTAGGATGTTATGTGTCAGTATTTTTATGTAAGGAGATATTATGCTAATTTGACATAAATATAATTATGGCAAAGGTATACAATGTTATATTAAATCTCAAAATTTATGCAAATAGGCAACCTTCCATCGTTCGCATGCGAGATGTAAGAATTCGTTTCATTCGGTTCCTTCGGCTAGTATCGTTTTGCTACCAGTTTCCTAGCGAGTAATGCTACATTAAATAATGTTGATGCAAATAATTTTCAAATAAAAAAAGATTTGCGATTAAAAATTTTCTAAATTTTTAAAACTCAAATTTCTATTCATACACATAATGCTCCTTGCATTTATTAAAGTATTTGTTCGTTTATTATAAACGGGGATTTACAGATTTCTTACACATTAATTGTGATTCAATATAATAGTTGCATAATAAACAAATAGACATAGAAATTTCACAGGTGATATTGTGGCAAAATTGTGTTGTTTAAAAAAAGTTATATCATTAAAAAGCATGTTATTTTTAGGGATTTATTAGATTGAAATGCTATCCATTATGATAATTCATTCTTTTTGCCAGCTTTTGCCAACCCGATAAAATCAAAACGACTTCGATACAAATAATATCCAGCAGCAGTTAAAAAGGAGACCAAAAGAATCATGCTCTTTGGTCGCGTGGGTCGTATTTTTGTATGGTCATTTTAGGTGTTTTGCATGTTCTTTGCTTAAATTCTGCAAATATAACTTCCAGGCCCCACAGCTCATGAACCGTATTATTTTCTAACCGGCACAGAAATAAGAGAAACTAGCATAAATATAACGCATGGTATTTTAAAGTATAAACAAAAATACGAACGCGTGATGTTACGCCACCAAGGAGCACGGCTCTTTTGGTCCTAGGGTAAACAGACTCCCGTTAACTCCTCCAATCAGTTTAGTTCGGATTCTCATGACTCTGAAATTCTCTTACCTTTTGGAACATATAATATAATTAGCTCCAAAGAACATCACGAATATAATCGGGTTTTTTTAAATACAATAACATATGAGAAACTCACGATTTAAGTGATAAATGTATTGTAAGTTTTTTGTATAATGTGTATTTTGTATTTATTTTCACACCCGTCGTAACTAATTCAATATAATTGAAATACAGGAAGGCATTCTGTTTCTCCCTTCGATAGTAACATAGTTTAGGCTCATTTTTATATCATTTAGTGCCTATATAATCACTATTAAGATTATTACATAAAAAGAAACAATACGGATACTGATTTTGTTAATTGCCTATTACAAATTATCTTACTTTATTCTAGTTTTGTCTCAATTGTTTCTATTAATTTTGTATAACAGTTTCATTCTTAAATATTTATTGTCAATGATAAATTATGTGAAGAAAGTGCAACAAGAGTTTCAAGTTTTATAAACCAAATTCTATGTTTAGTTTCTTTAAAAATAAATTATATGTAGATAAATAATCTCCTAAGACTAAAACTTAAAACACATTTTGAAAGGCTTATGGATTTCATTTACAAATAAAAAAATACTGCCTAATATTTACACGATTCTAATATGTAATTGTAATTGAAAAGAGAAAAATAAAAAAGTTAAAAAAAATAACATTAGCGTGACTCTCTCAATTTTCTCAATGTACATAATATTAAAACTTCAACATATTATTAACAGCCATAGCCAAATAGTAGAACACCAGTGTTGCCAACATTCAATACCTCTAAAATTTTCATTGTAGCAATAAACTTATTTTCCTTGTTAGATGTCCGAGTAAATTATGATAACTATGCACATTCACTCTTAGCTCTATCAGCACCTTGGTTAAGTTCTAAGTTTCTCACCAGTCTGGAATTAAAACTAGGACTTCTGGCCCTTCGGCCTGTGGCTGAGCACTATGCAGTTGTCAGCGAGCTGATCCCTCATGCTGCTGTTCTCCTTTCGCACGGCGGCCAATTCCTGGTTGAGTCTTAGAATTTCAAGGACTAACTTCTCATTTTCTACTTCGAGTTTTTCCAATCTGAAAACAAATTTTGCAATGAGCTGCTTTGTTAGAGGAGCACCAGTACCCAATGTTTAGCGCGTTCGGTCTGAGATGCAAAAATCAAGCAACTTTTTGCAAAGGTCAGTCCAAAAATTTATTACTTCGGGCAAAATTGATCACATGGTATTCTAATATGTATAATGAATAATAATTATAATGCTTAGTCATCAGATATATGAGAGTATTGATACATATACTCACTTTTTTTGCTTTTGTGTTAGTTCACTGATGTGATCGCATGCTTTAGCTAAAATTCCGCCTTTGCTCGCAGAGTCGGGCAGACCTGAATTTGGAACTAAAGCCGCCAGTTTCGTTATCCAACTGTTGATTTTATCCCGGCGACGTCTCTCCACTTCGTTGTGTGTCGCCCGACGTTTATCATCGCGCTGAAATCAGCGTAAAGGTTATTAAAAAGTAGATAAACACGCCAAAAAAAAAAACAATTATTCTATCTATCTATATCTGGTTCTTTGGTAACATCCTCCTGGGAAGACAGTGGTTGGGAGCTGTGTTAGTATTTTCTGGTAAGTAAATAACATCACACGCACTGCTCAGCTCCCAAGTTAACTTCACACTAGTATAGAATTCAGAAACAATGTAGATGCCACTCCTCTCTCATAAAGATAAAAAAATATTTTCCTTATTGCGTAATCAATAAATATGACGTTACACCTTTGTACATTTTTTTCATATTTGTGACGTGGCGTACCTCTACTTCTTATTTTTATTATTTGAATTTATTATTATATTACCTGTTATATAAAAACAAAAAAAAAAATGTATTCAATATTTCTCTATTATCTGCTGAAGTGCTAAATGTGTGGGCTATTAGTGCCAAAACATCGGCTTTAAATTAATTATACAATAAATTCTATAATCATATTATTATTACCCATACTGATTACGCTTCACATCATATCCCTTGCGGGGTAGGTAGAGACGCTGTAAAGTGAAAGTACAGTCCTTACATACATCTTTCGCCTCATCCACTTTCATGACTTGGAAAAGTATTGTTATGCCAAAACTAATTATACCAAACTGATTATGCCAAATACAGTTTCCTATTAAGTATAAAACCATTATGCAAAAATAAGGTATCCTTGACATAACTATAGGCTACTCAGCCCATTATAAATATAAATCACTTGAGATAGAAAGTGATATCCCCATATTGCTAATATTATATGTTACGGCTAAAGGTGGGTGTGAACATAAGATTAGCCAGTTAAACTTAGGTTTATCCTCGAGAAGCAGCTAAAGTTCGATATCATGTTAATTTGCGTCGTGATATTCCATCTTTAGCCGGTTAATGTGCGCATTAACCGAAATTAAACGGCTAATAAGGTATTCGATGGACGCGGACCGGCGGAGGGCTTGAGGGAGCCTTGGGTAACGAAAATCCTTGCAAATATAGGACACACACGTTCTTACAAATTCTAAGTTCTAAGGTCGCGAAATGCAACTGCTTCATGATCCGCCCAGTGTTGAGCTGGGAATATCTGCAAAAATGTTATTCTCGTCGATCTGCCCAACTTTTGATTGGGCACATCTTGATATGGCCGGCCAAATCATGAAGTGTCGGCGTATCTCGATGTACCCGGGCATATCACGATCAGGTCAATACAACGATCGGGCGACGACATATAAGTATAATGAGAGTGATTATTTGTTCATAAAAGTTTTCGTGTCAAAATAGTTAACATTATTACATTGTTTCCTTTTCCATTGCCTTCTACATTTTTAACCAAGGGCCTGCAGTTACACTTAAGTTTAGCCGGCTAAAGATAGAAGAAACTAACATTGACAACTCCTCGAAAATAAACCTAAGTTTATGTTCACACCCACCTTTAACTGTAACATATATTTATCATTAATTAGCCTTAGCCTATTAGCCTTTATATATACCTATATATATATAGGCCTATGTTCAGCAGTGGACGTCTTCCGGCTGATGATGATGATGATGATATATATAAATTGATTGTTATTTATATAACTACCTATAGTTCTTATTGTCTAAATTTTTTTTTATATTAATCTATCTTTTAAGAACTTACTTTTTTTGCTGTATTAGCTTTGGCTTGTATAGGATCCCTGCGGGTGTTTGCTTTTTTCTGGGCCTGTGTTGTTCCAAACATTTCCACTGGATTTCCAATTACATAAAACTCTGTAAAATAATAATTAAAAATTTAAGGAAAAAATAAGAATAATTTAATTTTATGTTAAATTTTTGCATCACCAATCAATGTTAATAAAAAAATAATCCAATTAGATTCCATGAAATTAATTATATATTATGTTTTTCTTTTATTTTTCAACATAGTCTTTTTATATAACACTATATTGTATTGTATTATACATAAAAACCTTCCTTTTGAATCACACAATCTATGCTCCATTAATTCAAATCCTGCCTCTTGAATGGCAGCAAGGGTTATATCAAACCGGTGTGCAGGCACATTCGCGAAGAAAAGCAAATGAATTTATCAGATCAAAATTAAGTATACAATTAATGCATACCATGTGGAGGTGAATGTTCAGCAATGCTGGCAGTAGTCTCTTCTCCTGAGACAGGTATTATCTTATATGTTACTGATGCCGCTGCAAAATGAAAAACATAAATACATTATTATAATAAATATTAGGACAACATCAGATCAGTGCTCAGAACTCAGAGCATGTAACATCCTTGTAATATAGATAAAAAATAATTAAGATACCACAACACCTAAAACCTGAGACAGCACAGAAAAGTTCATAGCTCCAAACTGGGGTAGCACACCTTCTAAAAGGGCATGGGAAAATGTCAAGGCAAAGCCTTTAGATTTCAGAAAAAAAAATCGTAGAGTGAAACGTAATCTTAAAACTATCATGTTAGATTAATATTAAGATCTCATTTACTTATTTTGTTGACTAGTTTCAAAACCCATAGTTTTCCTTTGTTGTATATTATCTACTACGAGACATTTATTTTGAAAAAATAAAGCTGATAATGACTATGCAATACAAAATGAAATTTCTACAAATTGGGAGGATAATAATTGAATGACAGAATGACACAAGCTTTAGAAACATTTTTATTGTAAGCACAAATATATGTAGACTACTGATTAATCATAAACTCATGATGTATTAAGAGAACTAATGAGAGTAAATAAAATGTTGGGTAACTATATATAACTAATGACAATAAATCCATTAAAATATACTTACGATGAATATCTCTATAAGGATAAGATGTGCTATTTTCATTTGTATCCAAAAACTGTTGTGTTACTAAATGAGACCTTTCCTCTGCACCTTAAATCAATTCATAATTAAATTTAACCTTAATTTAATAAAAACTTGATAATTGAATTGATTGGAATCTCTTGTTTACTAAACATAATAAAATTGTGACAAGTTAGAATCTTACCAAAGGAACCCTCATCCACCATACTTAGATATTCACTGTCGGCACTGTAAATAAACAATCACAAACTTTAAAATAAATCAATCTAATTTCTGTAAAAGGACTGCATTCTATGCCAAGTTGCAAAATTTTAAGCAATGATGACCTTCAACAAACTATTTTATTAAATTATGTAATACGTTAACACTGTGTTAATACTGCATTTACCTATTATCAAGTGAATTTTCGTGTATGTCGTCAACGTCAATTTTAATTTTAGCCATTGCGCGTAATTATTTTTGAATTTTCCGATTTTGATCACGGGGACAAATAAAAGGGTCATGTGATATAAACATAGACAAATAGAGAATAAGCACAGACCAGTAATAACTGTCAGTTGTCTTGTCTATGGTAGAGTTGTACATTGAAAATCGATCTAATTCTAAACATCTATTCGATAATCAATCTAGATCTAAACCTCTTGTTATAAGTCCCGTAAATGAGTATTTTAAAGAATAAAGAAACTACAATAATTTATGTCACTAGATGGCAGCACAAATTGTTGGATCTAAACGTCAATTCATGACGTTAAACCAAAGAGAATAGAATTGTCAATGTTGTTATGGATCTGATAACTCGGATTAATATAGAGTTGAAATTTAATTAGTTCGAGTTACGCAAACGCAACTCGATTAATACAAATATCTTTGAATAAATTTCTTTTTTATTTGTATAGAGGAAAATGGAAACTAAATAAATCAATTAAATTAATGGTATACGATAATATTACCGTCAAATAATTTTCATAAATAAAATAATTATGCCATAGCAGGTCTAGGAATTTTTCTTTATAATATTTAACAAAAGTCTTGAAAACAATAACAACTAGGTAAATTAGTTTTATTGCTATTTGTTGTTTGTTGAACTTACAACAAATAAACTACATTAAGTCTTAATAATATTTTTATATTATCTGTGGTGAATGAATGAATAGAGCTTATTAATCAGAAACAAAAGTCTTAAAAACTTATAATATGATAATTATAATTATAATAAAAAAACTTCTGACTAAACTCACGTTTGTGCAAAGTGTAGCGTGCAAATAACTCGTGCTTTCAAAATTAAGAATTTAAAAAACTATGATCAGTCATCAAATCTTATTTAATTAAATCATCTTAATAAACATTCAGCAATCAACAAAAAACGTCTATTCGAAACGAACAGCAAGGTTATAACTTTAAATTTCAAAATCACAAAGTACAGTTATTATACTATTGCTACTGATCTTGCATGTCGACGGCGAACGTCGAGCCATGTGTTAAGTTAATTGGTACGGTGGGTATGTGCTTTTTGGTTCTTACAATAATATTGTCAATAATAGATTGACTTTATACTCAACCTACTCTAAAAATCAGGCATATTGAAATATATTACTTACTAAGTACCTAGAGAAGTCATGCTCTCTTAAAATCTCTGCCGTGGTGTCTGTGCGTCACGTCGTTACGTTCCCTCAAATATAGTTGAGCGAAGCGATGCCTGGCTCATGCGTCAAGCTCGTCAACGGGTGCTGCCAATGGGGGTGAGTCTGTACCACCGGACTACTTAATTTCGTCAATTTTCTTTTATTAATATATTGATTTGTCAATGAGTATGTAGGATTTCTGATATTGTACTGGAAAGTGACTTCACAGTCTACGTAAGTCACATTCCAATAGGAATTCTCTTTGTGAAATAAAACATGGAGAAAAAAGCAGTCCTTGCTGAGTTTCTTGCCGATTCTTGTCAGTACAAGATCTCCCGCCTTAGTTTTACGAACCATTGGTACAGTTTTCGACTGTCACAAGTCTTATGTAAAGTAATAACGCAAAAACAAAAAGATAGGACATGAGATGAGAAACATTAGATATATTTATTTTTAGTGAAATTAGGTTTACACGTTATGAAAATCATGCTATTTGCTATTTTAGTTAACTATAACAAGTAACAATAAAACTTAACAATAACAATCTTAAACAACAAAAACATTACAAAAAATATTTATTTGTTGACGGTACAGATTCTTTAACGCAATGAGGTAGTATTTAAAAAAAACTAGTTCTCGAAATCAAACTAGATGTCACTGCGGTACTTTCTTGATTTCTTTCGTGTATCAAAGTAATTTAATTTTAAAAACTCAAAAAACAACTCATATTCTTTTGTACTTTTCGCATTTGTAACGATATCTTAGTTTCGAACTTTGCAAATTGAAGTTTTTGAATATGAAGTTTAGTTAACAGGAACGGAAACGATTATCTTTGGTCCATTCATTTCCTGTAAAAAAAACTTTTTTGTAGAGTCGCCATCTAGTGAGGTATATAGTTGTTTTTTTTTTCTTAAAATACTTCCTTATTGACAATTTGTGGCGATTATAACATTTAATGTTACTAGAAACTAGAAATGGCCATTATAGAAATGTTTTTGAGTATACATTAAAGTAAACTGGGCGTTGGGTTGCGCGGGGCGCGGTTATTGTGCTCTGACGCGTTTGTTCACGTTCCGTGCTTCCGATTAATTCAAAAATACCATAATAAGCATTCTTCCTTGAAACCTATAACAATCTGAAGACCAAGTTATTCTCTGAGTTTTGGTGCATATATCAATACAAACAGAGCAGTGGTTGTGATAAAATCAGTATTTTAATGTATTGTAATGTCCAGATGTTTCGACCAATTCATATACAGCTTTGATCTAAAACAAATCATTACAGAACCAACACATTTCTCGCAGCATGGTTAAAGTCTGATTGATGTCATGTGCACAGATCTAAGGGCTCTCAATGTATCAGTTAAACATATCCCAGAACTCGGAAGACATGCTCTGCTACAAGCAGAGTTTAAGATTAAAAAAGAACAGCCATTGCCCCGATGGGTTACATATAGACCCTTCAATAATATTTTATTGGATCGATTCAACATGGATCTAGATTCTATCAACTGGGGTTATTTTAATGAGTCAAGGGATGGAGTAGATATCTTGGTCGATAAACTGTCATCTGTCATCACATCTTTATTTGACTTACATGCTCCTATAAAAATAAAACAATTTAAAACTCCTCCTCATCCTTGGATCACGGAAACAATGATCATGATGCAGTTAAGAAACAGATATCACGACAGGTATAAGAGAAATAAAACCACAGTCATAGCACATCCACTTTTAGTCTGCAACCAGTTTGTGAAGAGGTGGAGCTGAAAGCAATCAAAAGGCTGAAATCTAATGCTGTAGGAGACGACCACGTGTCTCTGGAGATGTTGTTGATAACTCTGCCATAGTTGCTGAATGCAATTACCAGTATAATAAACCGGTCTCTCATTGAGGGCATCTTTCCTGGGAGCTGGAAGCGTGCTGTGGTAAAACCTTTACCTAAAATATCACCTATGTCAATGCAGCATCTCAGGCCAATCAGCCTGCTTCCTTGTGTGTCCAAGGTATTAGAAAGAATAGTCTGTGATCAACTTACTGAGTATATTGAGCATTACAACATACTTCCACTATTTCAATCGGATTTCCGTAAAGGACATGGTACAGCAACCACCCTCTCAGATGTAGTAGACAATCTTCTAGCTGCCCAGGATCTCGGTGAAGTTAGTGTACTATTACTGCTGGACTATTCTCGAGCCTTCGATTGTCTTAATACTGCTTCTATCCAAACTGGCTTTCTACGGCATTGATCCAAAAGCGGTGAAATGGTTCCATGGCTACTTAACAGACAGACAACAGTATGTTGAGCTAATAGCAGCAAATGGAGCCAATTTGCGGTCCAGTTGCCTTTCGGTTATCAGAGGCGTTCCGCAGGGCTCCATACTCGGAGCAATCCTCTTTATTTTGTACAGTGCTGATGTGATTTACAACATACGTGAATATAGATATCGTTTGTATGCTGATGACATGCAACTTTACTATTCTTTTAAGCCATCACACACTGCTACTGCTGAAAGTAAAATGGACGTGGATTTGGCAAGAATATCAGCCTGGTCTCACTCTAACTGCCTTGTACTTAACCCCCGTAAATCTAAGGTCTTACTTTTTGGTAGCAAAAATAATATTCTAAAGTTTATGATAGAATCTTAAATATCCACATAGACGGTGTAACTTTGGAGCGTGTTAACAATGCTAAAAGCTTAGGGCTTACACTTGACAGCCACCTAACATTCGAGTCTCATATCGCAGAGTGTGCTCGCCGCTGTTTCTACTGTTAACAACATAAAGTAAAATTTTTAACCTATGGCCATGCCAGCTATTTACAAAAATTATCAATAGAATTAATATTTTGTCCAGAAGTACTTGCAGAAGGCTGCCTAAAAAGCTTGTCAATTTTGGGCAATTTTTGTTTACTTTCTTCTCTTTCTTAGCGTTGTTTGCGTTTAAATGCACCACTGGGTTTTTTTTGTTCATAATACTAGTTTTCTAATTGATTTATGTAAGATTGTTCTCAAGTAGGTACCCACTGTTCACTGACAACGTTACAAGTAAAAGGAAAGCGAAACGTAATGATACGATACGCCGTTGGGGGATCCCCGGCAAACATTTTATCGCTGCCAGTGTTACTACATTTGACAGTTTAAAAAATGACAAAAAAAAAACATCACGTAATTAATGGACGGCCCCCTACCCCATATGACTTCTATTTTTCACGGTATTTTGAGTTATATAGTGAGTAGCCGAAATCTATAGATTTTTTTACGTAACTATGTATACGTACTACAATCAAATAAAATTGAACTTTTGTATGGACCAGTACAAAAAATTTATTGACATACGCTTACTTACTCCTGATACATTAATCGAAAAAAAATCTTGACTCGAAGTTTGCAATCGCGAATCACAACCGCATATCAATAAATAATAATATGCAGATATTGATATCCGACAAATTGATGAAAACATTAACCCTTAATAAGGCGCGAGTCCCTGTGAAAGTTAGGGTAAATTTGGATACCTGACTGAATTCGAATTCGGGTTGGATTTTTACAGGATCGCAAGGCTGGCCTTCTAGCTCAAATGAATTTCTCATTATTAGGTCTTATTCTAAACGCTATGTCTACCTACGAAATAAAAAATTATATTTTTTTTTCTTAGAGTACCTCGCTGGCGTAGTGGATAAGCACCGCGGCCCGCGATCGTTGTCGTTAAGCAACTTTCGCAAGGGTCGGTCATGGGATGGTTGACCAAAAAATTAGTATCGCGAGCTACTCCGTGCTTCGGAGGGCACGTTAAGCCGTTGGTCCCGGCTGCATTTGCAGTCGTTAATACCCTCCAATACGCAATGGGCCAGCGTGGAGGGTCATGGCCCATCTTCCTTAACCATCTATAAGGAAGGCCTGAGCCCCTG